AACAGGAATGTCTCCAAGGGAGTCTCTGTGTATCCCACCTCCAGTGAACTATTTATCTCTCTCTCACCTCCAAATGAGGTCATCAAGCTGCAACCTGATTGACAGGCTAAACTCCACCACCTCACTCTTTATAGTCTCAAGTTGGCACCATATTATGTAACTACCACAATATACAATTTGTGTGATGATGTGATGGAGTAAATGTGTTTTGCATGGGGCAAGGGCATGAATTTGGTGGACGGAGACAAAGGGTAGAATGTTACAGATTGAAGTATGTCCCCAGAAATGAATGTTGTAAATCCTGACCTCTATGCCAGTGGTTATAATCCCACTTGGGAATTGGTTGTCTTTGACATGTTAATGAGGCAGGACTAGTGCAAGGTGTGCGTTCAGTCCAACTCTCTCCAGATATAAGAGATTAAATAAATGAGGGAGCAGAGCAGAGAGGGGAGAAAGGGACGACCATCCTCCTGAAGATTGCCAAGGAGGAGAAGCTCAGAAAAGATGAGGACCTTGCTCCAACCCTTCCTCTATGAGAGCCAACACCTTGGGTTCAGACTTCTCGCCTCTGAACTCTGTGAGAAAAGAAACTTCTGTTTGTTCTACTGAACGATGGATTGTTTAGAAACATTAATATTAAAAAAAAAAGAAACATTAATATTTAAAGGTTGGATCACAGAAAAAAGGAACCCGTGAAGGTTAAGAACAGAACATGAAAGTGAACCTATAGGACAGGATAGAAGTGCCCCTGTGGATTTCCAAGACTAATTCTTTATGGGAGTAGAAAGCCTCATCTTTCTCCTGAGGAGGAGCTGGTAGTTTTGAATCACTGACCTTGGGGTTAGCAGCCCAACACATAACCACTATGCCACCAGGGCTCCTTCCTGGCTTAAATAAGTATTGATTCATTTGTCTCGTATTAAGATGTGCAGACCTGATACAATAGATCACCAAGGCCACCAGGGGTTCCGGTTCCTCCTTCCTCTCTACCACTACGCCTCTAGGTCTGCACATTAAGGATCACAAGATAGTTGCCCCTCCAGGCCCCCTGTCTAAAACCCACATAGGGCAGAAAAGGAAGTAAGAAGACGTAAAGGACAGTAGAGTGTCCATTTCTTTCTTTTTAAAAAACTGCTGTCCAGTTGATTTTGATTCTTAGGGATCATAGAGTTTCTGAGGCTGTAAATCTTTACAGAAGCAAATCTTTCTTTCTCCTGCAGAGAAACTGATGGGTTTGAAACAACCACCTTGCTGTTAACAGTTCAACTCTTACTCATAGTACCACCAGGGCTACTTAGTCTCTTTCTGTAGGAAAGCAAAATCTTTACACAATGTGGTAGTTACATAAGCTGTTGTCAGTTTGAGACTTAAGAGCAAAGGGGTAGAGTTTAGCTTGTCAATCAGGTTGCAGATTGATGACCTCATTTGGAGGCATTTAATGAAATCTCATTCCCTGCAAAACACAAGTAACGAATAACCTGATGGGGCTACGCTGATGCATCCAGAGCCCTAGGGCTGGAGGAGCCACCAGAGACCCAAGCCAGTGCTGAGATGCCTCTTTCACCACTGGATCCACAAGACATTCCACACACCGGCCTGTGATCTTCCTGCATTTGGTGTCATTGCATAATTTATAGATTAGTATCAGACATATAGGCTAATATCGGACTTATGGACTTGATCTGAACTGGGCTGGGATGTTTTCTCAATATTCAATTGCTCTTGTATATAAAGCTCTTTCTTATACCCATATGAGGGTCTATGAATTTGTTTCCCTAGTCTACCCAGACTAACTCACACAAAACCCCACTTATTTTCACTGGTCAGAATTCTGTTACTTGGCCATTTCTAACTGGAGAAGGGCTAGAAGAGAAAGAATTGTGGGCAAGAGTTGAGCCAGTCAATCAAGCTTTTTGCAACAGAATATAATCACAGCAGATGTTACAAGGAAGCCCAGGAAGATGACTAAAAGTAAAGGGAGTGGGGTGGCGAGAGTTGATAATACAGAAGTGTCTGACCACTTTATCAAAAGCAAGTTCATTGTTATATATTAATTGGGCTCTTAAAGGCCAACTGGTAGGTGAACTATGAGAATAGGTCATTCTGTTGAGGGGGAGTGCGGAGTGGAGACCCAAAGCCCATTTGTAGGCCACTGGAGAACCCCTTGCAGAGGGGTCTCGGGGAGGAGACGAGCCAGACAGGGTGCGATGTACCAACGATGAAAAATACAACTTTCCTCTAGTTCCTAAATCCTCCCACCCTACCCCCACTATCATGATCCGAATTCTACCTTGCAAGTCTGGCTAGACCAGAGGATGTACACTGGTACAGATAGGAACTGGAAACACAGGAAATCCAGGGCAGATGATCCCTTCAGGACCAGTGGTGTGAGTGGCGATACTGGGAAAGTAGAGGAAGAGTGGGTTAGAAAGGGGGAACCGATGACAAGGATCTACATGTGACCTCCTCCCTGGGGGATGGACAACAGAAAAGTGGGTGAAGGGAGACGTTGGACAGGCAAGATATAACAAAATAGTAATTTGTAAATTATCAAGGGTTCATGAGGGAAGGGGAGGGAGGGAGGGGAAAAATGAGGAGCTGATGCCAGGGGCTTGGGTGGAGAGCAGATGTTTTGAGAATGATGAGGGCAATGAATGTACAAATGTGCTTTACACAATTGATGTTTGTATGGATTGTGATGAGTCGTATGAGCCCCTAATAAAACGATTTTTAAAAAATGAGAGAACAGGTCATTCTTTCTTTGTTTTAGAAAAGGAGAGTGTGGAGGAAGCGAAAATCTGACAGGGGGTGGCACAATGGAGAGGTGTTTTTGTTCTGCTTTGTTTTAGGATGGGGAATACTGCAGTATGTTTATAGGCTGAGGAGGAGAAACAATTAGAAAAAAAGGTTTAAGGTATAAATGGTATGGAATAGAGATGAACTGTTGAAAATGGTTCAAGGAAGATGGGTAGCAGGGAATTAAACATAACCTTGAAAGAGACAATAAACCTCTGAGACAATGGTTCTCAACCTTTCTAACGTCACGAACCTTTACTATAGTTCCTCATGTTGTGGTGACCCCCCAACCATAACATTATTTTCATTGCTACTTCATAACTGTAATTTTGCTACTGTTATGAATTGGGTGACCCCTGTGAAAGGGTCGTTCTGCCCCCAAAGTGGTCATGAACCACAGGTTGAGAACTGATGCTCTAAGACTTGTTTCTCTCTCTTTTTTTAAATCATTTTATTGGGGGCTTATAAAGCTCTTATCACAATTCATACATACATCCATTTTGTCAAGCACATGTGTACTGTACATATGTTGCCATCATCATTTTCACAACATTTTCTTTCTTCTTCAGCCCTTGGTATCAGCTCATTTTTTCCTTCCCTCATGAACCCTTGATAATTTACCTTTTTTTTCATGTCTTACACCAACCACTGTCTCCCTTCACCCACTTTTCTGTTATCAGTACCAGTGTACATCCTCTGGTCTAGCTGGATTTGTAAGGTAAAATTGGGATCATGATAGTGGGGGGAGGGGGGAAGCTTTAAAGAACTAGAGGAAAGTTGTGTGTTTCATTGGTGCTATACTGCACCCTGACTGGCTCATCTCTTTCTTGTGACCCTTCTGTAAGGGGATGTCCAACTGTAAGACTTATCTCGTAACAGGACCCATGGTGGCGAAGTGGTTATGCGCTGGGCTGCAATTGGAGGGGTGGGGATCAGCAGGTTGAGACCACCAGCCTCTTCAAGAGAAAGATGAGGTTTTCTACTCCCATAAAAAGTCGCAGTCACAGAAGTGCACAGGGGCAGTTCTGCCTTGTCCTATAGGGTTTCTATGAGTTGGCCTCAACTCCATCGCAATGAGTTTGGCTTTTGGGTTCTTGTCTATGGAGAAGTAATGACTTGGAGATCTGTTCCCGTAGAGATGGCAGTTTAGGAGACCCTGTGGAGGGCTTCTACTCTGTCCTGTAGGATCACTATAGGGTCGCAGCCAACTCGATGGCGCAGGAACATAGCAAGATGTCATCAAAAGTCAGGATTGCTTTATTTGTTGGGATAACTTAACTAAGTAAGATCACTTGTAGGCCTTTTCAGACATAGGAGGGGCTTCAAAAAGTTCCTGGAAAGATTCCATATCTTTTAGCTCCATTTTCCACCAACTGTTTAACACCCTTGGTGCAGAACAGACCGCAAGAAGAGCAGACGGTTTTATGAGGATCTCAGCATTGCCCTCTTTACCCTCTCTCACTTCCCTTGCTTCAGGGAGCCGGGATGATAGTGGGCTACGGAAAGCAGCGAGCGCAGCAGCAAGGCCAGAGTCCTTGCTGGAAGGATCCGGAATTCGCGCTGCAAGCCTATTCCGATCCCGCTCTCAACCCTTCATCTTGAAGAAAACGTGGGACAAAGCTAAAGATCAGAAAGCCGTCAGCTGGCATCTTCAGAAAACTGGGAAGTGGGATATTCAGAGCTGGCCATTTCAACGGAAGCAACGACAACCTTTCCTTCCCTCTGTCAAACTGGAAGCATCAATTTACCGGCTCCGAAGCCCGAAGAGAGCGACTCTCACTTTTCATTGGCTGGCCTACCCTGTATTGAGACCTTGCTTCATTTTCATTGGTTGCCGCTGCTATCACGTCCCTTCGCCACACCCACTTTTCCCCATCACAAACCAATGAACTTTGAAGGAACGTGATTTACAACCGTCGGGGGCGGGAGTTCGCACACAACCAGCAGCCCCTCTCTCCGCGCTGCGATCTAGCCTCCCACCTCGCCTCGAGGCCCCGCCCCTGTCCCGAGGCCCCGCCCCTTCCCGCCCGGGCTCCGCCCCTCCCGCCCGAGAGAGCGGGCGGCGGCGACCGCAGCCGCAGGAACCTGCTGGAAGCCAACGGGCGGGAGCCCGAGAGGTGCTGAAGGGACAGTTCCCGCCGCGGAACTTGCGCCGCGTCGGGTGGGTGGGACGGCTCGCCCGTAGGCGGGCGGGCACGTGAGCGATGGAGACCATCTGGATCTACCAGTTCCGCCTCATCGTGATCGGAGACTCCACCGTGGGCAAGTCATGCCTCCTGCACCGCTTCACCCAGGGCCGCTTTCCGGGCCTGCGCTCCCCCGCCTGCGACCCCACAGTGGGCGTGGACTTCTTCTCCCGCCTGCTGGAGATCGAGCCCGGCAAGAGGATCAAGCTGCAGCTGTGGGACACGGCGGGGCAGGAGCGGTTCAGGTAGGACCAGACAGCAGAGCCAGGGCGCCCACCACGGCGCTGCCTCCTGGGCACTCTTGCCCCGCGCGCGCGTGCGCACCCGCCCGCGGGGTCCTGAGAGGCCCCGGCTCTCCCCTCCCGAAAGTGCGACCGCTCCCTGCTCACTTCCCCTTCGCCCCTCCTCTTCCAGGGACAACTTACCTCCGCAATTGCTCACTTCTCTTTTTGGCCCTAGTTTCCTGCTCCCCCCTCGGCGTCTCAATTTTCCCTCCTGAACTGGGGTCGCCCTCGCCGCCCCCTCTCTGCCTCTTCTTCCAGCCCTGCCTGTATTCCGGATCCCCAATGCTGGGACTCCCCTGCTGCCTTCTCCGCAGACTCGGTGTCTTCACTAAGCCTGACCCGGCTACCCACCGCCAGACGGGCCCCTTTCCCTCTAACCAAGCAGGTTCCCCCTCTGCGCGTCCCGGGAGAGCTGCGAAGTAGGCTCCCCGGTTTCGTGATTGATCCTTGACTTCACAGCAAGCACTGCTCCCACCGCGGTCCCTGCATGAGCTCACGGGGCATCACACCCCGGGAGAATGATGCGGTGCTGGGAATGTGTTGTACAGCAACCCGATGCGACAGCAGGGGCACTGGCACTTACCAAGTTGTTTTGTTCTGTTTTGTAGGGTTGACTTGTCCTGGTAAATTTTCCACCACGTACTTTGATGGGTGTGTGTATGTGGAGAGAGAGAGAGAGAATTGCACACAAGCGATTCACATTTTGTAAAAGAAATAAAAAGTGAGAGAGAGAGAGAGAGAGAGAATTGCACACAAGTGATTCACATTTTGTAAAACAAATAAAAAGTAAACGCAGTTGTTTGCATTTCCTGGGTAGTTACCATTGAATCAAATGGAAAGCACCTTTTAAATGTCCAGGGCTCAAGGACATTTTTGTTTTTAGAAGATGGGGAGAAATCTAATATATTATTGTATTTGTTTTTTTATTGCATTATCCATTGGAAGTCATTTAAGGAAGCATTTTGAGGTCTTAAGCAAGTACTCTGCTTGTGAAATGCAGTAAGTACTCCATGAGGGGCCTTCCCAAACATGGCCTCTGGAGCCAGCATCCATTTCAAGTGAGATCAGCCTACATTTGTGAGAATGCTCCCACAGTACGTTTTGGCGTTCATTCCCAGCCTTGACACTGATTCATAGAGATAAGTGAACTGCTTAGCTAGTTTCTGTGTTAGTTTCCCTATGTATAAAATGGAAAGATGGTAAGGCCTGCCCTTCAGAGAGGAGTTAAAGATTTTCTGTTTGAGCCAGGTACAAGTTGGGCCAGTTACAATCTAAAGTTGATTACAAATGTCTCCACTGTGATATCAATCAGAGATGAACTTTGAGATATTTCAGGATCAGAAAGGAACATTTACCAATAGCTCTTGCTCTGCCCTGGGAAGTGAATATAACAAAAATCTCTTTCTCTCTTAAACTTCTAACAGTTGTAAATTGCAATTAAAATGGTAAAGTCTTATGGTGTCTAGTTCTTTCCTTAAACGTAACTACTCCATTTCTTAACAAGAAAGTAAAAGGGCAGTAAATTTGTTAGACAAGAAAGACCCTTTCTGCTAACTAGATCATTGTTTTTAATTCCTTTAAGAAGAATGGAAATAGTAATTCTCTTTATATATATTATTAAAAACAGTTATTCTCCTCACAATAACTCAAGGGCATTTAAGGATTGTTTATTGACAGTGAGTCATATTTTATTTTACTTGGCTCTTTACCAAAGAAATCTTCATAAATACATACATATTTCAGACATCACTTACAAATACTTGCTTTTCTTTTCATTTAACAGAATACTGCACAATGAAGTTACACTTAAAACATATACTGTTAAATCATTTAGTATTTTTCTCCAAGAAAATACAGATACTTACTTTGAATAATAGATACCCTTGCACATTTCCTTTCTTGGAATAAATAGTTCAAGGAGATGTATTCCTGCCATTACTCATAATCATACCATTAGGAATTTATAGAAAACATATTTGGAGGTTTACTGGAGATAATGTATAAATAAAAAGGAATTGCCTTTAAATCGTTTGTGGTATAGCTTGAAAGTTAAATGTGTCACAGAACAAAAAATTCGCTGATAATTATTATAATTAGCCTTATCTTTCAAAGTTTAGATTAACATATGCTATCCTGTTAGCATAGAGGGTTATACTCTGAGCTGCTAATCATAAGGTCAGAAGTTCAAAACCACCAACCTTTCCATGGGAGAAAGATGAGGCTATCTTCTCTGGTAAAGATTTATAACCTGAAAGCTCCCAGGGGCAATTCTACTCTGCCCTATAGGGTCACTATGAGTCTGAATCAATCCAGTGGCTCTGAGGTTTTTTTGGTTTTGAGTTGACAATGGCTAAAAGCCACTGCCATCCAGTAGATTCTGACTTACATCAACCCTATGTAGGGTTTCCAAGGTTGTAAATCTTTACAAGAGCAGACAGCCTCATCTTTCTCCCTCTGAGCAGCTGATGGGTTTGATTGCCAACCTTTCAGTTATCAGTCCAACATTTACCAGACAGCACCACCATTGCTTACTTACATAAGTTCAAGAAGGCACAAAATCAAAGTGCAAAAAGTTTAGAAAAATAATATATATCTGAGCACACTGTAAATTGTAAACTAAAAAAAACCCCAAAACTCACTGCCATGGAGTCAATTCTGACTCATAATGACCCTAAAGGACAGGGTAGAACCGACTCAGTGGGTTTCTGAGACGGCAACGCTTTATGGGAAGCCTCACCTTTATCCCGCAGAGCAGCTGGTGGTTTCGAATTGTTGATCTTGCGGTTAACAGCTGAACGTGTAACCACCAGGGCAATTATAACACTAAATGCTAGTTTTATTCATGATATGATGTTTTTGAAAGAATCATTAAATTCCCGTATTTAGGAGACTCAAGATTACTCCATTGAAATTTGGAAACGGAAGTTTATTTCTCACTGTGCACCACTGTGAGCCGGCCAGGGCAAGCTGGTGAGTGGGTCTGCGGCAGGCCACCATCAGGAGCGTTCCTTCCTATTTTTCTGCCCTTGTCAGAGGCATTTGCAGAGCTGGGTTCCAGGCCCAACTTTGTGGCAGCTCAGGGGAGAGTTTGAAAAGGTCTAAAATCAAGCAGTTTTCCTATTAAACAAGCAAGGCCTCAATTCATTAAGGAGCTTGGTGACAAGGCCACAGTTAGCTATCGTGTCCCCTAAAAGAAGGAAGATGGATTTGGCATCGTGGGGGCTTGTGGCAACCAGGAGTCACCACATTTTCCATTGTGATCCATTGTCGTAGAAGCTTAGCAGTTAAAGAAGGAAGAATATTGTTAGTACAGTGTTGCCAGGTGCCATCAAGTTGGCTCCTACTCATAGTGACCAAAGCTATCCACAAAAGAATGAAACTCCCCAGAGAAAGGGACAACTCAACCAGGGTACAGTACGGCACCGACAAAACAGCATTCCTTTGAATGCTTCCTGCCCCCACCTCCACCATGACCCAGTTCTGCCTTACAAATCTGGCTATACCGGACTACACACATTGTTACAGATATAAGCTCTGGACACATGGAATTCAGAACAGATAAAACCCTCAGGAACAGTAGGGAAATAGCAACATCAAGAGGATAATGGGCATGATGAGGATGGAGGTGGGGTAGGAGGAGAAAGGGGGAACTCATCACAAGGTTGGATATATAGCCCACCCCCCAAGGGGATGAATAACAGAATGTGGGTGAAGGGAGACAATGGACACTGTAAGACACGAAATAATAATATATAATTGATGAAGGAGGAGGGGCGGAAGAGGAGCTGATACCAAGGGCTGAAGTAGGAAAAAAAATGTTTTGGAAATGTTGGTGGCAACATATGTACAAGTGTGCTTAATAGTATTGAATGATGGGTTGTCATCGTTGTAAAAGCCCCAGATAAAATGATTAATTAAAAAGAGAAGAAGTATATTGGAAAGGCTGAATGTATTGAATGTAAGATGAGCATTAAGTATAAGAATATACATTTGGAACTCTTCTCATAAAAAGCTCTTAAAGCAATTTGACAAGGTGAGATAAAGAAATAGCAATATTGGCTGTAGGGATAAGAAACCTCTAGGCTCCAAGCCAAATTTGGCCTTTGATTCATATTGTCTCACCTTTGATAAAGAAGCCTGGTGGTGCAGTGGCTAAGAGCTCAGCTGCTACCTTAAAGGCCAGCAGTTCAAACAGAAGAAAAGTGTGGTCCTTGCTTCCACAAAGATCACTCCCTTGGAAACAGCACAGGGCAGTTGACCCCATCCTGGAAGGTTGCTCTGTGTTGAAATCGTTTAGACAGCAATCAGTTTGGTCTTTAGGGTATTAGACTTTGTAGAAAGCTCAGAGAATAATGTCCTCCTAGTGCAGTGTGTCTTCACAAGCATGTTCTGTGGAACACTCATCAACCCTGGCGATTCTTTTCAAACGATGGGTTCTATGATCAAATAAGTTGGAGAAACACCTTTGTTCCAAATAATAAGCTCTTAGAAATCCATAAGAAACCCTCGAAGAAATATGGCAGTAACAAAAGCCATCTGAGACTAAACTAACATTTCTGAAGAGTTTTTAAAATGTGAAAATCCATGAGAACGAGTGCCTGCCGAGTATGATTTGGGGAAAGTGCCCTTGATGCATTGCTTTGATCAAACTCTTTGAACAGAACCTGTAAACCATTTGAGGTTTGGAGTAGTGGGAAACCTGCAAACATCCATTCACTTTTTAAATTAACGTTTCAAAGGGCTTGAGGCCGTAAGAGCCAATATATGAAGGACACTCCTCACCAGCCCCCTATACACACCCCAAATCTGGGAGCCTCTAACTACTGTCACTGAACTCCTGAGCCTCTGTTTGACCCTTTGCCGCCTTCTTTATGGCTTTTCCTTTAGTTCTTCCTCTTGTGTGTCTTTCTCTCCCTTGTGTGTCTTAGCCCCCTTCCAGCTTATTCATGGTTTTCCTTTAG